GATGAACTCCAAAGGGAGCGTATATAAATTATGTAACAGTTGACATAACCATACTGTGAGGTAACTTTTTCAGACTGTGTTGAAGTTTTTGTTCTTGAGGGCTAGAAGCTTGTTTTTGGAGGGAAGGACCAAAGATGACCCTCACTTGGGGCTTTTCTGTCTTATTGTGGCTGAGGCAAACGTGACATAAGTTTATTGAAGGCTTCCTTGGGCAGGGCTAGCCCTGGTTTGTGACTCAGCACTTTACGATTCATGACATCACATCCCATGTTCTGCAAGGCCTGGGAAAGGACAACCTGCAGGCTTCCCTCAGGGTAGATTCACACAGGCAGGGCAGGTGTTTCTTCTTGGGGGTTGTGGGGAAGCCTCTTCAGGGTCAAGGTCCAAGTGGAGGTCCCAAGCTTGGTTGGCCCCCCAGCAGGCAGCTTTGCATTGGCTTCTTGAGGTCAGCAGCTCTTTCTGCTTCCGAGGCTCCTCTTCCTGGTCTTCACCTTGTTCTCCTGGTGGCCTCCTTTCCACCCTGAGGCTCATAGTGACTTCAGTTCCTTTTGCTTCAGGGGCTGCTCCTCCTCCCAGCCTTCAGCTCTTTGGCCCTTCCCCCCTCAGCTGATTGGTGGCCCAACTTCAGAGGCCAGCTTCCAATTGGCTCTTAGCCGGGCCCTTCCATTGGTCCCAGAGCCGGCTCCAAGCGGCCAATGCCCATGCGATGTGGGGAGGCCTCTTCCTATTGGCTGGAAAGGGCAGGTTTTGGAACCCCGGGATTGGTATAAAAGGGCAGGTGTGAAGTCACACAGTTCATTACAAGGTGGGGGAAAAGCACCCTGGCCATAATGCCATTTGGACTGAGGATGCCTTGCCCAGTCAGGGCTGGGTCTTGGCCACCCCATCAAGATGGGCGAAGCTGAATTAAGGAGGCCACGTGCCCCCAGTGTGTGATGGGAAGTGCCACATGGGGAGGGGGGTCTTCATTCAAGGCAGAAATAGCTGGGGGGGGCTAGGGTTGGGTGTTCCCCATCCCTCTGGAGCCCGCCAACTCAACAGCAAAGCTTTTTGCCGGGATTCAATCACGGCAAATGGTCGCGGCGGGGCTGGGAAGGCGTCTTGGGTTCGGATCCTCGGCTTTCTTTGAGCTCCCCCCCCCCCCCGGGCCAGGGGGGGGGGGGGGTCTAATTACAAGAAAAAATGGGCTGGGGGGGGCTAGGGTTGGGTGTTCCCCATCCCTCTGGAGCCCGCCAACTCAACAGCAAAGCTTTTTGCCGGGATTCAATCACGGCAAATGGTCGCGGCGGGGCTGGGAAGGCGTCTTGGGTTCGGATCCTCGGCTTTCTTTGAGCTCCCCCCCCCCGGACCGGGCCGATGAGGAGGCGTCGGAGAAAGTAGACGGAAGGGGCTCGCGCACAGCTGGGCCAGCCTGCTTTTCTTTGGTCCAGCGTGGCCTGAAAGAGCGGAAGGAAGCAAGATAATTCCCCGGATGGAGAAGCCGACCGGTTGCAGCTATTAATAACCCCCGAGAGCTGAAAGCCGCTCTTTTAAACTAGAGGGGATAGGGAGGGACCAGAGCCCACAGCCCTGGAAAAGGGTTTAAAAAGAGCCTGGACCGTTTCCCCCAAACGCTCATCCGTGGCTGTTTTTCCATCCCCCCTCAGTAGAACCTCCAGGCGCAGAGGCAGTCTACCACGCTAAGTGGCAAGCCCCGGGAGTCCCCAGCAAGAGGCGTTTATGGAAAAGCAGAGGGAATGAGACGAGTTGAGGGGCAGAGATCCTCAGTTCGGGTCACTTTCTCTCCCCCCCATAAGTTATCTTGGGCTTTAGAGAAAATATATTTAACCCGGCAGGCCTTGGGAAACCCACCTTCGTTTCCCCGAAGGTTTGAGCTGGGCTTCAGGGACCCCAAGTGGGGGGAATCGCATCCTTTGCACAGCAGCATGGTTCGGGGCATCCAATCCAGGAAAAGAGGCTTTTAAGCTTCCCGGGAGGCGTTCAGCCGAGGTTGGGTGTCGGCAACGCTCTAGGGACGGATTTCTTGCCCCGGGCGGGGTTGGACTGGATGATCTCTGAAGTTCCCTACTTTCTATGGTTCTACCGATGATCTGGTCAGTGAAATAGCTCACCGGAAACTCCATGGGTAGGGAGAGTCTACCTGACCCCATGGAGTGTTGTCGGGGGGGGAAGACTGTTAAAAGAAGCTGCTGGGCTTTGTGAATCAAAGCTGGGCTGCTGGAGTTTTTCCAAACGTTGGGGGATTTAAAACGCCTGCTGGCTGGGCAGTTGGGAAGGGACGATGGGAGTTGTAGTCCAAGCGCCGACCTCCCCTGCCAAAGTGGGGTGATGTCTTTTCCTGCTCTTCTTTGCTTGCTTCTCGGATCCCCTAACCCTAATCCTGAAGTGTGTTTAAAGAGGCTCGCGGGCACCACGGGTGGCATGTGAAAATCTCCCCCTGCCCAAAGTTTGGGCAAAGTCATTCGGCGCTGCCTCCCTCCCCAGGCGGTGATGGTGATCACTTACACGGAGCCCAGAAACCCGGAATATCGACCGTTCCTGCAGCAGGTCAAGCGCACCGCCCAGGAGCAGTTTAACTTCACCATGGAAGACGGGCTGGTAAGGTGGGGACAGAGTTGACAGCTGCAATGGCAGGGGGAAACCTGTTTTTTGGGTGGCAAAGTGGTGATCCTGGCACCCAGACCCCAATGCTTGGCTTGGTTTCCAGCCTGGGAACCCGGTTCCCCTGTGATCTGAATCGGCAGGCTGGATTAAACCACCCTTTGTGGTAGGAACGATGGGGCACCGACTCCTCTTGGCTCTGGGTGGCATCTGCTTTGGCGATGCCATGCACCAAACCGCCTCATTTTACACTGTTTCTCAGCCTCGGCAACTTTAAGATGGGTGGACTTTAACTCCCAGAATTCCCCAGCCAGCATGGCTGGCTGGGG